GTATTTAAAGATCGAGTATTATTTTTATTTATAAAAATCATATGATGATCATATGATATGGACCAATTAAAAATATCAATTTTGTGTAACCCAGTAAATTTGAAGTCACCTCAGTAAACTTTATAATATATACAAGTATAATTTTTTTAAATATTTTATCTATTAAAACTTTTACTACTATATTCTAAACTATATATTATAAAAATTTGATAAAAATTAATTGTGATAGTAAAAAGTTTTATTATTAGTATATTCAAATTTTCTATAAAAATCACGTTGTACCACAAAATCATATGACAAAATGATCTACATACCCCCTACCCTTAATTGCATTTTATTCAAAGAGATTTAGTGCGTAAGTATAAAGAACATTGATTAATCTAGGCATTTAAGATAATGTATTATACTTCATGAATTTTTACTATTTAATTTCGGTTATTTATGTTGATTTAGTGCGTATGCACAAAGAACTTTAATAATTCAAGTATTTAAAATAAGCTATTGAATTTCATGAATATTTATTATTTATTTCCAATTTATTTGTGTTAATATAGTGCGGGAATATTTACTATTTAATTCATTTTATTCGCATTAATTGAGTGCGTATGTATAAAAATTTATTAATCTAAACATTTAAATTAAGTTTAATGAATATTAATTATTTTTTTCAATTTAATTATGTATTAATTTGAGGCGAGAGTATAAAGTTCATTGGCATTTAAAGTAAGCCAATTTCACGAACATTTCCATTTTATTCGGGTTAACCTAGTGCGTGATATTTATTAATCTAAGGATTTATTTAATTAGTTGGCGAGCATAAGATTATTTATATTCAGATTGACTTTTACTAAAACACACCTATGGTGTTTTACACCTATGTATAAATTATCTCAAAAACTGGCTAATTAATCGGTGTGAGGTGCCTTAAGTAAAAACTTCCAAATCCTAACCTTAATCCTAAAACACAACTCTAATATGAAAAATTTAGTGTTAAAAATTTGTATAAAAAAACTTATAAAAACTTAAAGAATATAATAAAAACAATAATAGGTGCAAAACTACCATAGATGCGTTTTATAATAAATGATTCAAATTTAAGAGTTGCATAAATAATTGAAGCGATAATTTAAGATATATATTGTAAAGATGACAAGAATAAGTCGTAGTTTAGACGTAGTTCTTGACAACTCAAGAATTGGTAAGTAGGAATTAGCCGACATATAAATGTTCTTTGATCCAAATCTTACCAATTTTTTCACATAAATATTCATTGAATTTAATTGGTATATAATCGTATAACTGGAAATTTAATTTGATGAATCTGAAAATTCATATACTGTGTTTATTGAATGTCCGGATAATTATTTGACGAATAAGACCTCTACCATAATTTAAGCGTGAGTATAAAGTAGGGATGTCCAACCGGTCAGCTTATGCTTAAAAACCTGTTTCAGAGCATTTACATCCCGTACTCAGTTTATACATACGTACTAATAATTGTGCTTGCGTGAGCTATTCAATAAAACCTTCTATCGCTATTACTATTTATTAAAGCAAATTACATTTAAATATATAAAATTTTGCATTATAATGTTTATTGCATCTATCGCTATTATTTATTTATTAATATACGCAATTAATTATACCTAATTATTAACCTTCATTACAGTCAATAAATCGAATAGTGAAATTTAGATAAAAAAAAAAAAGGAATATCGTAAGGGCTAATTTTGATAGTGATAGTGATCTAAATAGTAGAACCGATTACTTATAACTCTAGTCAAATTTGCAGATCAATTGGCCAGATTCAAAATCAAATCATTTTGAACTTGGCCAAACGATCGGCAAATTTAACCAGAGTTATAAGTAATCGGTTCTACTATTTAGATCACCATCAAAATTAGCCCTAATGTTAAAAAAAAATTTAAAAAGACTAATTGTCGTCATATCATGCCACAATAAATTAAAAAAAAAAAACCCCCAGAAAACTGATTTGTTCGTCATAACGATAATAATTAAAAGTTTAAAGTTAATTACAAATCAAGACTAATTGTCATTATCACGCCACAATAAATCAAAAAGTAAGGCAACTGATTTTTGTTCGTCATAACGATAGCAATTAAAAGTCTAAAGTTTACGTTAATTACAAAATCGTTTGGAGCATGTGGAATTTAAATTTAATAATGAAAATCGTGTGACTACAAAAACTCGAGTTCCATCAGTTTAGGTCCAAACAGGGGCCGAACCGAATTCGGACAAGCGGGATAACATCTCTAGTATGAAGATCCTTATTTAAAATATGTAATTCGATTTTACAACACATGCTGTTATATAATACCTATATTAATTTTATTTGCGATAATTTAGTCGGCAAGTGATTTTTATTAAAATTATGATAGCTTTTATTGATTTAATGTTATCCATGCGAATTTAGATTGTGTGTATAAAGATTTTTTATTTATAACTATATTTAAATATATTCAAGCTCAACAGCATTTATGATTTCATAATATTTTATCAAATTGTGGATATAGCGAACCCAAAATTTTGAGATTTTATAACAATAATAGTTGGGTATAAAAAGTGCAATGGGATCTTAAGAAATATTGAAATTTACTATAACGAACTTTTTCTTCTAGGATCTTCAGTTCGTTATAGAAAGAGTTGGCTCTATTATATTTAATCCTTATTAAATTCATTTAAGCAAACAATTCGTGTTTATATCATTGACTATTATATAACGTATACTTTTATATATATTAAAGCTGGTGAGGATATCCATCACAATTGAATCCAATATAAATGATTTAATTTGTGATTGATCACAGGAGAGAAGGATTCACTCTGGATCGGGCACTGTCTCTGCTGTTACGGTATTATCCTTCTGGCCATGACAATCTGCATGAATTTTTTTTTTATACAATAAATAATTTTTTTTTTTTATACAATAAATAATTTTTTTTTTTATACTATAATAAATTTTTTAAATTAATATGCATCATAAGTATACGTAATATAATCAGTATTATAAGATATACGTATAAATTGTTTATTAAAGCTTAAATTCCGATATGTATTATTGTAAAAAAATAATTATATTATTTACCGATGCAGATCAAATGTATTTAATAACTTAATATAAATTTTAGGATTAATAATTACAGGTGGGTTAGTCATGGCAGAAAAATGTCGCGGTGATGTGATCGGCGACCACTTCCGACTCTGATAATACAAATTACGTAATGATTATTAGTCTACGTATGAAAGACCAATATTGTAATAATTATTTCAATGTAATACGTAATTTGTATTATCAGGTTCGGAAGTGGTCGCCGATCACGTCACCGCGACATTTTTTCTGCCATGACTAACCCACCTGATATTACCAACCCATTTTCGATTTCCTTTTTTGGAAGATCTGCCATCACATTGTAAATTTTTACGAAGCAAAAAAAAGAAAGAAAAAAACTAAAAAAAATACAAGAAACGAGTGTCTAAACCTATCTTGAAGCACTAATTACAAATGTCGGGGAGTAATTTTACCTATAGTACTTGCCATATCCTTATATTTTAATTGCTGCGTTTTAAATACTTCCAAAAAAGGAAATCGAAAAATGGGTTGGTAATATCGGTCGAGCAATAGTACACATGTCTGCGTGTTAGCAAATATTAAATATTAATTGGCTAGATCAGGTGTAACGTGAAAAAATCAAAACAATAAATACCCGATTTTATTAATTTAAGGAGCTGACAACTTTCTTATCATAACCATGGATGATAATAATAACAGGAGCAACTTAAAAAGTTCTAACATGAACTCGACCGACCAAGAATTTATTTATAACCTGTTGGATTTTCAAAATATACGACTTCATTAATGGGAACATTTACCTCAGCGTTGCCTTCGAATAAACGAGATTATGATGAAAAAAAAGATGAAGAGAGCGATGAAGAAATTTATACCGAAGAAGAGGTATTATCTGGAACCGTCGCAAGGCCTTTATTAAGTGAACAAGAAATACCAAGAGAGTAATGGTGAAGAAATTTACACCGAAGAAGTAGTACTATTTGGAACCGTTACGTATATACGAATAAACGAAATGATGATGTCAAAAAAAATGAAGAGAGTGATAGTGTCTTGCAACAAGGTATATTCATTAATAGATAAATTATTTACGCAAATTATTTTTCTTTTGTTTTTGTTATAAATAGTAATTAATCAGTCTTAATTATTTAGAGTATACGACTTAATTTATGGGCAAGCATAACTATACACGCACGAATTTAAAAAAGGTGGTATAACCGCTGCAAGGTTAATTCAAAGGTGGAAGAGAAAGCTGACTAAGACAAAGAAATGTCTAAGAAAGTTGTATTCATTAATAGATAAATTATTTACGCAAATTATTTTTCTTTTGTTTTTGTTATAATAGTAATTAATCAGTCTTAATTTATTTATAGCCTGTTGGATTTTCAAAATATACAACTTCATTAATGGGAACATTTACCTCAGCGTTGCCTTCGAATAAACAAAATTATGATGAAAAAAAAAATGAAGAGAGCGATGAAGAAATTTATACCGAAGAAGTCATATTATCTGGAACCATCGCAAGGCCCTTCAAAAAAAAATGAAGAAGAGAGTGATAGTGTTTTGCAACAAGGTATATTCATTAATAGATAAATTATTTATGCAAATTATTTTTCTTTTGTTTTTGCTATAAATAGTAATTAATCAGTCTTAATTTATTTAGAGTATACGACTTCATTTATGGGAACCACAATCTTACGCGCACGAATTTAAAAAGGTGGTATAGCCGCTACAAGGTTAATTCAAAGGTGGAAGAGAAAGCTGACTAAGACAAAGAAACGTTTAAGAAAGTTGTATTCATTAATAGATAAATTATTTATGCAAATTATTTTTCTTTTGTTTTTGTTATAAATAGTAATTAATCAGTCTTAATTTATTTATAGCCTATTGGATTTTCAAAATATACGACTTCATTTATGGGAAAGCACAATTTACGCGCACGAATTTAAAAAGGTGGTATAGCTGCTACAAGGTTAATTCAAAGGTGAAAGAGAAAACTGACCAAGAAACTTCAAAAACAGTGGATGAGAAAATTGACAAAGAAACTAAGAAAGTTGAAGTTCAGGTATATTCATTAATAGATAAATTATTTACGCAAATTATTTTCCTTTTGTTTTTGTTATAAATAGTAATTAATCTGTCTTAATTCATTTATAGTATACGACTTCATTAATGGGAACATTCACCACAGCGCAGCCTTCTGCATTAAATACAAAAAAAATGATGATGAGAGTGATAAAGAAATTTACACCGAAGAAGTAGTACTATTTGGAACCGTTACAAGACCCTTATGACATGAACAAGATGATTAGTTAAAATTGACCGGGGTAAAATCGCCACCCAAAAAAGTTTCGAACGTTATGTGACAAGTATATTGAGCACCAAAAATCCATGTAACTTGAACAAAAAAAAATACAAACAAAAATTTAGACTAACAAAA